TGATTTTTGTGGACACTCAGCAATTTTGATAATGGCTTTTTATTTCAGAAAAGCAGTTATCTAAGGAACAAATTCAAATACCAACAAATCTCGGTCGAACTATGTTTGGTGTTCTGGATGAAACCGGATTACTTCAGTATGGACAAGTATTTGTGCAATTTACCAATAACGTTTACTTGAAGACACCGCCGAGGGCTGCAGCAAAAACAATAGTTAAAGGTTCATTCTTGTTTGGGAAAAGACATATTTCTTATTTGTTTTGCATCAGGTAATATTATAACAGAACTTATTGATATGAGGGATACTATCAATATTTCAATATATAAAATTTGTTAAGAACTATTTTTTTTATGAAGTTTGGTGTATACATATATCTAAAATCATTTTTTATGAAAAAAATCGAAACCTTTGCCTTTTTTACTATATAAACAAATAAACACAAAAAGCAGTCTCATATAAATAAACCTGTAGTGGTTTTTGATACCAATCTCATACAGCGCTTTCAAAAATTTATATTGATATTATCCTTACATGCATTTTCCATTTCTATTTCTCTCAAATTGAATCTTCTATCCCATCTTTCACGAATATCTCCTCCTCATACTTTCCATAATGTATAAGGTATTTGTTAATCCTAATCTGCTATACTTCCATTGTTCTGGTATAGTCACAGACTGATCGCCCAAAAATTGGTTTTGATTTAATTATGATTTAGCAGTTAAAAAATTAAAGATATTTAACTCTGTTAAGCTAAAGAAATCCGAATTCTTTCTCATTTTATAGGTCCTGTGTTAATGACAAAAAATCCATCAATAGTCGCTGGCGATGTAAGAGTCTTCGAGGCTGTTGATTTACCCGAATTACGGCATTTAGTTGATGTAGTTGTTTTCCCGCAACATGGACCTCGACCACATACAGATGAAATGGCCGGTTAGTTAGCGTTCTAAATTTTAGGAATTTCAGGATTCCTTAAACTTTGAAGAGCAGTGGAATTCATCCATGTAATAACAGTAACTATCCAGTGTACTCTTCTTGTTGTGTGAAGCTTATATTTTTCCATTGATTTTGATCTGATCTTGCGAATACAAGTTCAAGCGCCATTTGTTAGATCGCAAGTGTATAATATGCGTTGTCGAAGCTGATTAGCTAATAAAATTTTAATTTGTTAACTGCAAAATATTTTCATGAATTCTTTTCAATTTTTAAGGATCTGATTTGGATGGAGATGAATATAGCGTCATATGGGATGATCAGTTGTTATTTGATCATAATGAAGAACCAATGGATTTTAGTAAGCTTGTTCGAGCCCCTGATGTTCTCAAGGAGGATGAAATTGTTAGTTTCTATCAGAACTGGCTCAATCAGCTGTTCATTGGACATATCAATACTACATTATTTTTTTCTTCTTTTTCTATCTTTAATAACTCAGTTCATTCTTCTCTTTGAAATTGTTATCTTTCTTGTTCCAATTATGTACAATTATGTACATTGTTACCGCAGAATAGAAATTTGTTGAAAACCTCTCCAAAATAGCATTATCGTTATAGCCTCCCCAAAATTTTTTTACACCAACTTTTTTGTAGGAGATACTAACACTGACAGTAATATAATTTCATTTCCACATCTTTTGAGATTTACCACATTAATTCATTCCCTGTGCTCGGATTTCAGGTTTTGGCTTTTTGTTAATAAAATAAATATAACTTTGAACATGTCACAGCAAGCATTAAGTCTACTATTTTACTACTCTCATCACTATTTCAGGTACGCGAAATGCGTCGTTTTTTTGTTGAATATATCATGCAAGATTCAATAGGTGTTATAGCGAATTCCTTTCTTGCAAATTCTGATATTTTCGGAATCACCAGCGATGTTAGTGTTTTTTATTTTTATAAAAAACATTTATTTTTATGATGTATAAGTGGATGCATTATCTTCGTTCAATCACATTAGTGATTGGATTAGAGTCGAATAATTCAGTGATATTATATTCTTAAAACCTTTAAGCATATTGAGATTTCTGTGTGTTTCAAAAAAAAACATTTCTGTAAGTGATGTTCAGATGGAACAGTGCTAGTTCCTTGTATTTGGATAATAATCATTACTGATTAATTAAAACAAAAATGCATCTTAGCTTATCACTTATATGCCATGTACGATCCATTTAATTATTATTATTAATCATTCACACAGTCTTTTCATTATTGTTTTTTTGGAATAGTTTAGGTCTGTAAAAGTATAGCAGAAAAACATTCGCAGTCTGTGGATTTTCCAAAAACAGGAAGGCCCCCAAAACCGCTTGTTAAAGATTGGAGCAATGGACCGGATGGAAAAATTATGCCACCTGAACGTCCAGAACGATGGCCTGATTTCATGTGTAAAACTCATGAACCTTCGTACGTTTCGACTCGTCTTGTGGGACAGTTATTTAGGTACTTGTTGATTTCTTTCAATTATTTTTAGAAACGGCCAAAACTGATGACGTAATTGTCAGAGTTTTTCTAAAAGGTTATGTGAGTAGAAGTTTGTCCGTCCATCCAAATAATGCAAACTGCTTAGTTTACGTTGCAGAGAGAGGATAGGATGTCTTTCATTTTTACTGCTTTAGATTAATTCATTTGGCTAATGCATCCTTCTTTCCTTCTCAGTAGGTGATCAAAAATATCTTTTTTTCAGACGAATCCGACTAATCGATGATGTCATCACAATAACCAGTGTTTGCGAAGGGCATTCACAAGTAACAGTGGATCCTCTTTTGAAATACAATGGTTGGGAAACTTATGAAAAAAGTGCGGAATTAAATTTGATAGCATACTCTGCTCATATTAGGGTATGTTTTTCTCACAATCCGGCTATGATACTTTCTTCATATCTTCGTAAAAGTTCTTCCAAAGATTTTTAATTCTCCATTCCTGTTCATAGGCTCTTATGGATAATTATGGAATACAAGATGAATATCAGCTATATTCTGGTTGTTTTACCAAAATTCGTAATCGAATCAGTGATAGAGATACAGATGATATGTCTCAGTTTAATACCAATTTTGTTATTGAGCAGAAATTTACGAACATATTTATGAGGTAAATGATTTTTAAAACAAAAAAAAAAATGAAAAAAAGAATGTCAAATTTGGATGTTCGTTTTATATGTCATGAAGTAGCGGAAAATTCAATTTATCGATTTATTTTCGAACATTTCAATAATCTTTTGAAGATTTATGGAAAGCATTACATAACCAGCTTTTCTAATCTTCCAGCTTTCGCTCCAATTTCTTTAATGAGTTTGGTGGTTTAACATCCTGTACCGAACCAGATGATGAAAAAGACGTGATTGAACGAAGATATTGTAAATGTCCAAATGTGGAGATGAAAAAGAAAGCATCCGCTTATTACGTCGTTTGCTACCGTAAGTTATATTGAACCATTGAATTGCCTTCGATGTGCATGAATATTTGGCTCATCAAATATTATAAAACTAATTCCATGTAGATGAATGGATGAGGGAAAGAATTATCGGTATGGAATCAACAGAATAATATCCTCAGTCTCCTTTATGAATCCTTTGAGTCACATATTCACAGTAAAACTTATCGAAATTTTAGAACAATCCTGGGTCCTAATTTTCCAATTTTATTATTTGCTCCCTTAAATAAAAAAGGGCTAAATATTCTCCCAAATTGAATTTCTTTCTTTTTACCAACTTCTAAAAGATATTTTTCCAAATACATGAAAATCCAATGAGTTTTCAGGCAGAGCTATGAATGAAATAGGTCAAAGATTATTATCATTTGCGTGGATTGTATGGGATATACTTGCTGAGATAAAAAAAGAAAATTGTACACTAACATCGCAAAATATATTAACTATCGATCCTATTTCTGACCATGTATCAAAAGTCAGACTTTTTCTATTGTTTATTTCGAATTTCAAAGTTATTTGTCACATTTAGCTAATTCTAGCAAACTAGGATTTATAATTACTGTTTTTCTAATAACACGTAAGCCAAACTGTGCAATTTGAGAAAAGAATTTTGTATTCTTTTTACAAACTGAAAGCTGAGATGAATTTTAGATACGCTTAAAATTGCAGGAATTTGTAAGCATAATTGATCTTGCTATTGTAGCCTCACTCGTTCTTTGAATTGTTTTGATGTAACTTTTACTATAAATTTCTGTTGTTGTAACGAGGAGAAGAATAATTGTTTCCAGATCTTAACTTCTTTCTGTGACGACAATAAGAAAGACTTTGACCAAACTTTAGAACGTTTATCGGAAGGTGCATTTGGTCTACATGCCATCAAGCGATATTGCAGGAAATATAAAGATATGAATTTAATGCTCTACTGCAACCATTTGAGGACTTAATGCAACCAGATTTTATAGATTCAGCAAATAATTCGTTCTGTCGATGTTCTATTTTGTCATGAAAATAAGCATCTGTTATATAATTAACTTCATTAATTTATTTTAGGATTGGACAAATTGTTTTACGTGTTATGTAAATGGGGTGAGCAACAACAGTTATTTGAAGGACGGCTGAAGCGAGAACATTTGTGTTTATTGTTAATACAGTATGGCTTAGGATATATAAATGGTGAAAATATGCACACTCATATTTTCCTTGAACAGGTTATTTAAAGATAACGGATTATTTAAAGGATAGATTATCTAAAAATCATTTGTTTTGTCTGTGTAAGTTATTTGGTGCATTCTTTAATTTTTATTTCTGGAAATACTATTTACATTCGTTCGCCTGGTCACTGTTTGATTAAAGCAATTTGGAATACTTCTAGATATTGAAGATATTAAGTTTTGATAGAATGTTTATTTTACATAGCTTAACTTTGAAATTCGTGAGATTTGGAAAAGTTTTCAAAATTTGGTTTCATTTCAGTTTCCAATTTTTTAATTTTTTCTTTTTCTTTTATAAAACACAGTTCTGTATGACGTGGCATCTGACAAGTGCCGTAAAGAACTATGTTTTGTAACAGTGAAAGAAAAAAGCAACATTTTTTCAGACCAATGAAATCCTCCCGGAAAATTCAGATGAAGCTCAAGACTTGAGCAACCTAATTGGTGGTATCGGCAAATGTTTCCTACGGTTTCTTCAATATTTGAGCTCACGGTCATTCGAGACGATGAAGATTTTCAATTTTATGCAACCAAATCTTGGATATCATTCAGTATTGATGCGTGGCCAGTGGTTCGATTTGTATCAGGTCTAATCTTCCGTTGAACAGAAACATCATTATTAATATTAGCAATGGGATGGGATGGGTGACTCGAAATCCTTTTGTAAAAACGAAAAATTTGGTTGGCGGACAACTTGATCTTCAGGCGGCTATTAAAACTTTCTATCGAATAGTGCTTACGAGTCGTTTTGACGAACTGTCAGTATTTGAAAGAAAGCAAGTATCAGCAAATAACGCATCTGTAAGTTTTATTTATCAGTTTGATTTTTTTGCTCAATCTATCTATGATGAGTAGTGTGTGCGCGATGGTTAATCATTTGTATGATAATGATTCATATTCTTTGTCAAAATGAGTAATACCTGTAAATGCAATATATCTGTCTTTCAAAGTTTCAGCCACGTAATTTTATCGAAGCTGAACCTTTTACTATAGAAATACCAGAAGATTTGCGCTGTTATGATAACAGTTTGAGAAATAAACTGATAAGATATTCGGGCGTACGTCACTTATATTTGAGAAGAATTCCGAATAGAAAAAGTTGGTTTTCGACTTGGAATTATTTTGTGATTCCTCATTAATCGAATTTATTGCTAATCAATCTTTGCTCGTATTTTAAAAATTTATGTGATGTACCAGCAGGCAACTTGTCAATTACATGATAGTACTTAAAAAGTAGAAAATTTTTTACAAAAAATTTTATTCTTCTGTTCTTAATTTTTTTGCTTTAAATTCACCATATTGGTTTAGAGTATCGATATTCAGAAATTACAGTATATAAATTAGAAAAGTAGGTTTAATAAAGCACGGGTCGGTGGCGTTTAAGCTTGTGTTAAATTTAACTCTCTCAGTAGTGCGAATATTTAAGATAAATTTAATTTTGAATTGTAGTTAATTAATTTGTACTATTACTTTTATCGAAAGATTTCCAGATCGAGTTGTGATATCAGCATTTGGTACGCTGGAATCGTTGCATCGGTTACGTGATATACTTGCTGTGCAACTTACGTCAAGTATACAAGTTGACACCAAAGCGTGCGATGATATGATGCTTCGATTGGTCTACGAGCGAATCCAAGAATTGCCTTAATAGTTTTCTGGAAATTGATATTTGCTGTAATGATCTCCAAAAACAGTTAAAAATTTCGGTGAGTGCGATAAAAATTGTCTAAGTTTTTGAATAAATACTTAAATAAATTTCATTTAATTGTTAGCTATAAATTATGAATATTTTTCAAACTAATCATGTTGATTTCTATAACATGGTATGGATTTATTCATTATTGATTTCAGTAATATGGCAAATCAATTAATAAAGTAAAGATTTCACTCTACTTAAAAGCAGAGTATCAACAATATTTTTAAATTCACTTTTAAATTCACTCACTCAGATTCTTAATGAATTATCGGGGTCAAATAGTCTTTGAGCGATTATTTGCTAAATGTGTAGTAGTTATGTGACGTGACATTTTTTCTACCAGATATTGTTCTGCTACTATAGAATCATTATTTTCCTGATATTTTAAACAAAAAATGACTGAAACAGTTTTTTTTTTTAAAAAAGCTACATTTTATTTTCTTATTTTGGGATTCATTTTCATATCAGTCAAAATTATTCATTCATTCTTTATCTGTGGAATTTTAACATTGATGGTTCCACTGCTGTTGGCTGTTCTGAAAATGGAGAAGATGGGAAATTAAGATGAATAAAAATTGCATAATATTTGTGACCGTTAGGTTCGTTTTGTCTGGTTTCTTTATATGCTTAAGGTGTACGTTTGTTATTGTAGCATTTTTTTTTTCTTTCTTGCGCATTGTTTTAATCATTCTGACCGTCAGATAATCGTATTATCTAGTAAATTTAATTAATTTTCCTAATTCATTTAATAAGCTATGCCGTTTTCTTTTTTTTCTATGTAAAATATCAGGATCAATTGTCTGCCTCGTTATTATTTGTTTTTCGAATGTTTTTTAAGTACTGAACTCATATTACAATTCCTCATTTAGCTTTAAATTTGGTTTATTCGCCAGAAAAAAAAAATGGAATAATTGTGCAATTCTGGAATTTTTGACATTTTCCACAAAATTTCTTTCTGTGTTTTGAGTTGCAAATATAAGTTGGTTTGTTTTTTATGTAGAGCATGATATCAGACAAAGATGAAAATAAATTTTTCGATTTATATTTTGCGAATTTGGTTTGTTTATGCTGAAGTGGCAATAATAAGATAGTTTGTCGTATTCATCGAAATCAGATAACATTTCTATTGAAACTTCTGCGGAAGTCGATATCGTTTAAGGTGTGAACATCATTTCATACATCTATGGTAAGAAATAGAAGTTTTTTTTTAACATGCTAGAAATAAAACTGAGGGACGGACTCATCCGCGTCGGATTTTGTCTCAGTTTGTCGAGAACTTCTGTAAGCTTTCTCATTAGTAAACATGTATATATTTCACTCCAAACGACGTTTGTTTTTTCTTGATTTTGTTGGCAGTTAAATAGTCGAAATTTGGTTTCTATTAAGATACCGCCTAAAATATGAGCCTCATTTTACACTCCAATTTGCTGTAGGAAATTTTTTCGAAATTTTTTTCGTAAATTTATAAGCAATTAGAAGTGAAATAAACGACTGAGTGAAGAATTCAGCCCCACTTGAATACTCAATTTATCGGGATTCCCGCAATATTTGTGAGAAAAAATATTTTTTTTTGACTTGTGTTGAAAGATTTACCATTTCCAAAGACCGACAACATTTGATGGGAAAAGTCGCCGAAGTACAGTCAGAAAAGCGGTGTGGTCTTACGAATGAAACAAAAATTCGCATCGATTCGTCGGATTATGCTATCATTTTGAATGATAGAATGTTAAATAGAAAAAAGATAAATGTGTGCTTAATTGTATCATAATTTGAAATTGTGTGATACTGTTTGCTAATAGAATTTTGGAAATTTCCGGGATTCGTTCCTCTTCACTTCAGCCACTCAAAGAAGTTTAGTTCGAGACAATCACATCACTTCGCGATTCTCAGTCAAAGTTTTTGGTCATCAACCACAAACTTACGATTAGCGCCGCTTTATTATTCTCGAAAAGTCGTTTATTTACTCATAAATGCAAATCACATTGGTAATCGTAATGTTTTCCAAATTCCTTTCCGTGGTTTATTCGAGTCAGTGCCACATACCTCCCACTGATTCCACAAAATACTTCGATTTCTTCCAGGAGAGTTACGGCATTATTGGACACGACAAATCAAAATGGAATCGCAATGAAGAATTATTGCTATACTGTCGAGACCTCTGCTCCCAACCACGTACAGGCGTG